TTTAGATATCAGTAGATAGCTGAGGATCTGCAGATTCCGAATATGTGTTTTTGAATCGTTTAACATAGCTAAGCGAATAAATAATCAAGATTTCATGCGTATGTGTCACTTTTCGTGATATCTGTTATGCACCCCTTGTGGTCTGGTTTCTCCTCGAAAGATTGGATATCAAAATAGACATTTATACACCATTCGATAGAGAATTTCAAGAGCTATATTTTGCACTATTTATATTTGAAAAACGAGAAATTTCGATTTTTCGCCAAATTTCCGTTTGGATGCCCACTGTGGGCTATGGTCGGCATTTTGACGGACTCTCGCTTAATTTATACATTCAGTACATTTTAATGTACCGAATGTACAAATTATATTTATCCGTTGCAATCTGAACATTGCTTTTTAACCATTCGTCTTGACTACAGAACAACATGAGAGTGAGTCACTATGCAACATTTGCGTATTGTCAGTGAGAATACATCAAGCCCAGCAAGCCCAGCACATTTTATAAAAATTTATATATTTGCGTATTCTGATATATTCTCGTGTATTGTCAGTGAGAATACACTTGCTGTATTCCCAGCGGGAATGCACGAGAATGCAGCAAGCCCAGCAAGTTTGAAAAAAACAGTCTCTTTTTGAGAATACACTGCGTAGTGATATTCTGACATCCCACCAGATCCCAACTACGTTTTTAAGGATATTATGCCAGTTAATAGAGGAAAGTGAGGAGATAAAAGCCCTCAAAGGAGGACCCATATCAGTTCTTTCAAAAGTTGTGAATTTTATTGTTCTGAACCCTGTGTGTAGTAACAGTAATAATTCTGTAACCCAGTCAGAACAAAGAATTAAGAAGTGAAATTATCTTTTGTACTTTCGCTAATAGTCTGCTAATATTACAGAAAATTGCAGCGTTATATTTTCCTAAATTCGCTTGTCGTTGAACTTTTCTTCCTGAAAGAGCACAATGTTTTTCCAAACCGCGCAATTTTCAATGATAACATTTCTCTTTTATTAGAGGTGATATTGAGAATTTAGAAAGATATAACGTTCAGATTTTCTGGAATATTAGCAGACTATTAGCAAAAGGTCACTCACCTGAAATGCGATACCCTCCGCTAAATAAATAGGTAAATAAAAAGACATGAACTAAAAAACAAAACAACAGAGTAAAAACTTGTCGGGTCGGATTCGGGTTAAGTTGTTGTCGGGTCGGGTCAGGTTCGGGCCAACTGATATGGGTCCTCCTTTGAGGATTTTTATCTCTTCACTTTCCTCTATTAACTGGCACAATATCATTAAAAACAGAGTTGAGACCCCGGTCTAGTCGGGTTCGGGTTGCAGATCTTTAAACCAGAGCCTTGCTGGTTGCCACTTTTTTGGCAACCTATAACCTAACTTATAAAAAATTTGGCAACCTAATCCTAACCTAACCTATGGAGTCAACAACCTAATCCTAACTCTATTATTGACTCTCGAGGTTATAACCTAATCCTAAGTGAATCAGACATAAAGAATAAGAAAAAAAATGTTGCTAAAATCAGAAAAAAGTTTTCATTTGGGCAAAAGTGCTTAACCTATAGGTTAGATTAGCTTAGCTTAGCTTAGGATCAACCTGCAGGGCTCTGACTCAAATGTGACTCAAGCCAGTTTTTTATCTAGTTTATCTAGTCTTTCGCCTCAAGTCCGAGTTCGAGGCATAAGAAAATGCGATTCAAGTCCGAGTTGTGACTCCGACTCGCCCATCTCTGTATTCATGTGACGATATTGTTATGAAAACGTTTTGCTCATTTTAGGCACTGCCTATGGTTTCGGCGTTTATTTTTCGGCAACCGCAGATTACAGTCACGGTTTCACTCAACCAAATTTAAACGGAGAACGATTTATGTTTTTATCTCGTGTTTTAGTTGGAAAAACAACTATTGGTAATAGTTCAATGAAAACACGACCGGTTGGATTTGATACAACAACAGATGGAAAACATATTTTTGTTACATTTCATGATGCACAAGCTTATGCTGAATATTTAATATGCTATAAATAAAACAACACTGTCATCTGAACAAAATTAATTGATTATTACAATTCTAATATCAAAAGTGTGTCATTAGTTCTCTTTACTACATGTCTGCATTTTCTAACTATTTCTAACCTCATTCATGAAATGGAAACTATTACTGTTAGTGATGCATACTGTCTGTAACTATCTTTGACCGTTTTGACTGAGTTATTTGTAATTATTTAAGACTAAACTAAGATGTTAACAGTAGAGTTCATAAACTATTGCTAACATCTCTGATAGTTTAGAGTTAAATGCATGTAACTAGAGGTGGCACTTTGCCTTGACTTTACTTGTAACTAAGTTCGTTACTTTACCTGGTAAAGTAATGCCGAGTGACTAGTAAAGCGCCACCCCTACATGTAACTAATCACGAACAACTCAGTTTTTAGTTCATTATCATTATATGAAATAGAGGTATGTGCGATTATTTTATTGTACTGACTGAGCTTTTCTCTGATTGTATGTAATAAAAAAATAAAATTTTTATTGATTTATTGTTATCACTTGAATGTTCGGATTTTCTGAGTTTCGAATGCATATTGATGTTTTTTTTCTGACAACTGCTCGTCATAAATAACTTTGTTCTTGTTTGGCTCGGACAAAATTACGGGATCAGAAATAAGGTTTTGGAGATCATTTTCTAGTCTCTGACACCTTATCTTAACGAAAGTATGAAAAAAAGCAAAATTTGCTTGAAAACGTTGGATGCTACGCTCTCTGGTACTACATTGAAGTTATTTTTCTAACGTTGGAGATCTTTTCTTTATCTTGGAAAATTTTGTATTTTCTTTGTTTTGTCAGATATTCATTGCGAAATTCGACCGTTTTTTTTCAAAGAAAGAGGCTTAACAAGTTCAATGTCTATGTATCATGTATGATTCGTTTAGTTTTTGGCCATGAATCATATATAATCAAGCAAATTAAAAGGTTCTTGAAGGATAGTTTTATATCAAAAACATGAAAAACTGTTAATTTGAGTTTCATAGTAGTACTATCACGTATGATCTAAAATGGACATATGGATGATGTTTTAGGTTGTCTTGGGAACAGTGAACGTGTTAAAAGTTTCTAGGGTACAATCCAGTGTAAATCGCTGAAATATCATCCCATCTTAGATGATCCACTCCTAGTTATGCTACGACTGTTGCGAGTCGTAATTCTGTACTCAACTTCTATATAGAGCACTCTAAAATGTACCAAATCACGAAAAACAAACTGTTCGAACAGGTTTTTTTTCCGTGATATAACGTATTTTTTTTGAATAGTTTAAGTTTTCTTAGAAATGATTCTGGAATTTTTTTAACAAACGTATTTTGTAGGACAGATATTTTTCTGCAAAATGAGATGTTTCACAGCTCTGAGAGAATCGTGATAACCGATGTATAGCAAATCTCCCGGATGCCCCAACACCAATAAAAACTGGTGCATGTCTAGTTATGATATGCTACACTGTAAGGTTGGAAATTATTTATGAAAAATGCTCGGCGAATTTCAAAGAGTTTCTAACGTTGAATTTCCACAAATAATTTTCAAGGAAGTAGAAATTTCTTTTTGATTTTCCATAAACTGGAAATTCTTTGGCGGGTCTGCACCGAGTAGCGGCGCTACCAGGTTGTATGGGGGTTGATCCATCTATCCTTTCGTGGCAAGTCTACCACGTTTACAATCGATGTATTCGAGCAAGCTATAAATGTGAGGATCACAAGTTCTTGAGTAGAAAACCTATTTATTACAAAAAACGCCAGGTATATATAAGTATCATTGTCTCTCAGTCGATCCTAGATGCCGATTTTCGAGTAAAACTGAATTTTTTTGGGTTTAATCTTTTATCGTTAAAGGTGGATCGGTACCTGAATTTTGGCACATAGTCGTATTCGTCTAGTTGCGTAGCGTTCAGGGCCGTAGCCAGGGAGGGGCACTGGAGATCGGTCTTCCGCTAGACTTTTGAAAAAATGATTTTTTTACACTGAATACCGTCAGAAAAGGCTGCCAGTTGATAAGACTTCAGACTCTTTCTGAAGGCAAAAAATCGATCCTCTCCCTTTGTAAAAATCCTGGCTACGGGCCTAGTAGCGTCGAAAATTATGAAAAGGTTTTATTAGAGATTCCGGATCATTTATCATGTTTTTCTGTAATGACACGCACGTTTCGTCTATCCATCCTACAAAGTGAGCAGAGTTCGTCAAATGTTCGTCGTCACATGGAACCACATCTAATGATCGGTGATAGAAACCAGCGCGACAGATGAGGTTACTTATGCAAGTTTCAGTGAATATTTTTTTGGATTAGCTTGATTTACACGGTATAAACCAATTTTAGTTTAGATTTAACATTGGGTAAATATAAACGTTGCTTTCTGCAAGGTCAGCAAAAATGGTCCTTCAACTTGTCTCCTCCTCTTGAAACATTTCCGTGAGATAACAGATTTGCCTTTAATGAAATTTTTGACAAGATTCGATTGAGTGAGGTGCATATTGACTTACGTATAGTGATGGGCCGTCGTGTAGTCGTTAGAGGTTAGTATTGATTGACAGATAGTGAAAGGAAAGAAAAGAATGAAAATTACGGTATCGCTATAGTCGTTTATTCCGTGCATGGCATTAAGAATTTATGTGATTTTTTCTGCTCTAAAACCTTAGACAAAAAATCAGACTTTTTAGCTAAACAGACTTTT